ACACACACACACACACACACACACACATACGCGGACAGGATTTCGACAATATGCGTCTTATGCAACTGTTGCAGCACAAAACGGATAAAAAGGACTGTTTGACGAAAATTGTTCATTTTCCTTCACGCAAAATTTATACATTGATTTACGCCAGTGAGTAGACAAGATAAATGCAAATTAACAACCATTCATACAGTTTACGACCTGACTGCTTCAAGTCTAGTGCAAAAACGCATAATCGCACCGACTAGCCTGGTGCATTTCAGCCTCGGTTGCATTTGTATACATGCAAAAACGCACAATAACACAGTGCTGGATTACATGAACTGAGATTGTGCCGATGTTGCAGCCACCACGTTGCTCACATGATGCGGCAAGAAGGTTGAAACGAGGGACCCGAGCGGAAACGAAAGAAGGATTTGCCATGACAATCAATGTGGAAACACGGACGCTGAATGTTCTGGAAAATGAGTCAATAAGGCCGCCTGTACCTGTCAAATATTGCGATATAAGGATGTAAAATCTGTTGATGATTTTTCCCAGCAATGGGTCGGTATCATTTGATAATGCTCAGATTTTTAAAAATGGAAAAGCTCATTTCTGGGAGCTATATCTGGTACTCGAGTATCCATCCCTTCAATACTGGATTTTGCCTCAGCTTGCATTCGAGACAATTATGAAAAGTTGTGTTCCATCGGACAGGCATTAGTTCTATCGATTTCGTTTTAAAGATAGTGCATTTTCGCCACTGCATCCTTCGTATTACTCATTTTGTAAATCTCCGCAGCGGGTGGCATAGCTCCGCTCTGTGTGTGGGAGCATACTAGTAACGTCACTAAAAAGGGATACCCATACTGATAGTCCAAGCATCCTTGACATTCTTGGTGTTAGTATTTTCCTACACGCTGGAAGGAAAGGGGCAATTGACGTAACTGAAGTGTAGCAGTGCACGTAAAATCAAGCGCAAATTAGTCGAAGCATTTCATACCTTCATTACTTATACAAATTTTTTTTTGTTTTGACTTTTTTTTTAACGGGTATCCATGTAATCGAAGATTAATCGTATCGTTATGGGTCACTCTGACAATTGGAAATTCTAACTTTTCGATGATAAATTTTCGATGGCCACATGTAATTTGATTTCCAAATTGCTGAAACATGCCATCACGTGCGTCAGTCTGTCGAAGTGTGCCATAGCTGATGCGAGATCACCGTTATATAAACGGTTGTAACGTACTGATCTTGTAATGTTGCTTCATACTTCAAAAATATCAGTCCCTCATATTTGAAATAAACATACAGCGAATTCTTAAGTAAAATAAATAAAAATTTTAATGATTTAGGGGGAAATGTGTGGTGGACTGTAGTGCAACGTGGTGCCTTAGCTGTGTACGCAATGATGAGAAACAAAAGAATGTTTATGGCTCACTAGCAATGAAGTATGCAAATAGCAGATAAATAGCACGGAGTGTTGGCGTTTTGGTCCTGACGAATGTGAAGGCTTGTTGGGCAAGAAATGTCAAATGTAGAACAGGCGAATTGGAGGTGAATAAGACTGACCCTCGAGTCGAGTGACGAAGATGGTGGTTTTGGTTGTCAACAATTCTATGAAAAAAAAACCCCCAAGACTCCGCTGGATGGGATGGATGGTTTATAAAGGGGAGTAAGAACCGCTCTAAAAGAGGATTTGATGATTTTTTGGAAGGGTTAGAAATGTACCAAAATGTGGGAAGATGGTAAATAGGGTAAAAGAAAATAACAAAAGCGATAATAGAAAGGTTTTAAGAGGATTAAAAAAAAATGATTGAGAGGAGAAAATAACAAAAGGGGAAACATCTACGAATGCAGGTGCTTTCCGATTAGACGACTGAAGAGGGATAAAAGAAAAGAATATGTAATATAGTTTTTATGCGTTTTTACTGTGCAGCGCTACAGTGCTGCTACAGCCAGCAAAAGGTCGTCTGTGTGTGTGCGTGTGTTCAGAAGCAAGTGAACTTTGTCACTCACTTTCATCTTAGCAACCAGGAAAGCTGAAAGGCTGAAATTTTGGATATATGTTCCTACCCCGTGTGTTACCCTCCCTCCCACATGCGTCTAGGCTCTGCGTACGGACTCCCGAAAAAAATATGCATATTTCTTCGGCTGGAAACGATTTCGTGAACCAGGCAAAATAAAAGCTGAAACTCTGCAGGGGCATTTTCTGTGCATGTGCGTGCTAAAGATATCAAATTCAGCTGTCGCGTACGCTTGTGCAGAGCGTACGATCATATCAAAGTTCGCAACTTGGTACTGTGCTAACTCGAAAGCTTGCCAGAAAACAGTGGCTGAAATTTTGTTAGCATTTTGCGAGCTTTTGTTCTATTTTCAAGTGCGGTCTTAATTCTGCTTGAAGGTGAAATTCTCTGCAGGTGGGTTTGAGAAATTCTCAACTTTACGGAAAAATCAGAAACTGTGTGTTTTGTAGCGAAAGACCGCCCTCATCCAAATGTGTAAACTCAGACTGGAACGCACTGGCCGGGTCCGTGCGATCGTGCGTTTTTGCACCGGACATGAAGTACTCAGGTCATTAATTGCATGAATATTTGTTGCTTTACATCTACCTATTGCGATCACTAGCATAAATCACCATAAATTTTGCGTGAGGTAGATGTACAGTTTCCATTTAACGATATTTCTTTAAAAGTAACCTAGTTGCTCAGTCAGATATTCAGCCAAAATTTTAAGTGCCCATACGTAAG